ACGCGATACACGATATTACTATCAGAGTTCCTGGACTATTTGCACAGTGTTCGGTAAATGTACGTTATAAAGTCATACGGATAGACACGTCGAGAAGGTAGAAAAGTTACGACTTGCACAACGAAGAAAAAGGAGGATTCTCGCTGTCCCTGGGAAGAATTAACTCATGCACAGCCGATAAATTTCCCCGGTGTACGTAAAATAAACCCGATGATATACGAGCCACGATATTCGTAATTTTCACGACGGCAATTCACTGATAGCTGTATTCTCATGAAAGCGACTCGCGGACAGGCGAAATATTGCGTACGCCTCTGCGTCTGCCCACCGTGATATAAATGCTTTAGCCAAGGATAGGCATCGTTGATCGCGCGGCAAACATGAGCAGGTAGGTCAGTCAGCCGGTGAAAATTGCTTCGAGGAGAGGACGTACTCGTACGCCGGGTATAATACCCGAGGGTAGTCATCAGATGCAACAGAGCTTTTTCCTCGTCTCTCAGCCAGTTGGAAAAGTTTACCGTCCGCCGCCACGAGTGTATCGCGATCGTTCGTTTCACTGAAACTAATGTCTCAATTCATGGAAACATTATACGTGCATTACCAACAAGGGAAACGAGCGACTCCGGGCTCGGTTGTTTGCACGGACACCGCTATCTTGTCATTATCTGTGCCATTTGCAAGTTTGTCTTTTAAACGGGCTCGTACTTTTTCAACCGAAAACCTATCATCAACCTTTTTGCATTAAGAAATAAGGAAACCGCGACGTCTTGGAAATTATGAACAGGATACATCATTTTAGGAGGAGTAATTATACTCGTTTTGCGAGGAAATTTTAAATGCTACCACTTACGAGGTGAAACAGTAATTATCACCTTAATAAAGTTACTTAAATCATGAAAGGGAAGTTGTGGGAAAAAATAAGTTAAATTAATTCTCCTGTACGTTCTATTTTGTTCACTAACATACTGTTTCTCGGACGGGCGGACCACAATACAATTGAAAATCAAACGAAAGAAGGAAAAGGCTCGGAAAAGAAACAATACTTTGTTAATAGATCCTAAGAAAAGACAGAATTTTTATATAGAAAAACATGTTTCCAAGTTACCAAGTTTTTATTGAATATCTCCAACAAAATAACACGAATTAAAATATGCCTCAGATAAAAGTCATTCAAATTAATTAGTGGAATAAGATCTTGTAATACAAAATACAGGTTTCTTTTAAAAAAAATTCTTTTTCACCACAACCTGACCCTGAAGACATTTACTATATTATGTACCCCTTGAAACTCTACAACTTTTGTACGAAACATTTTTTTCTGAAATGCATTATTCATGAGATATTCCATCTAAAAAATCGTGGCTCTCTACATGGTCCGCCGTCCTCAGGTTAATACTCCATTTACACCTAATGTTAACTACGTTAGAAAATAAAAGTTAACAAAATGTACGAGCATCGCAAATGTCAAGACTGCCATCCTATAATTACATACACCATATACTATAATTGTGCAATGATGAAAAAGTAATTCAGTCATGTAGAACATCGTTCCGGAGCGAGAGGGGGGTGTGTCGCACCCGTTAAGAGCCGGTCTTTAAACGGTTAAATTACATAGAAGAGGTACGTTATAAAACACGAAGTAGAGTTTTGATCGCGGACAGAGGATTCGTTTTGCTTCAGCCTCGTGATTAATATCTCTAAAATAGTGTCATTACCGGGAAGGGCAACGGTGTCATTGAAGTTCACCGGGTTCGAAACGTTCAACGCGTTCGACTGTAATTTCCATCGAGCGACTCGGGTTCTTGCAATTTCATGGCGCGTTAGGGACGATCGTGGCCCCCGGCCACGAATTTCGTTCTGTGTTCGCGTTCCCGTGGCTCGTGTACGAGAAAATTCGAAGCGAGGATAGAGATCGCGATGTTGGGGCAAGAAACGACCATTAAGCGATCGCGGTTTCCGCTAATCGAGCCTTTCCGCCTGTGACGTGGGAGGTTCAGCGAAGTGAGATGTGTAAGACGATGAATCATGAAAATAGCCTTAAACAATGATCTTTCAGAACCTTGTTCAACGATTGTTTATGGTGTCAAATAATTCTCACCTTTGATATTCTCACCTAGAGCCAAAGTATACCTTTAAACTTTAGAGAACAAATCAAAGGTGCAAAAAACTTGTAATTTTCAAACTGTTAGAGACTTGTATGTAATTTTTTTAATGTATCGTTTCATTGTTTAAAAGTGAAATTATTTACTGGACATTGTTGCTTTTTGAAATAAAAAATAAATTGGATTTAAGATAGTGCCGGCTTTGACGATTGACTTATTATTTCCTATTATTTTCATTTTCTAAATTTTACACTGTGTTTTAACAATAATTCTTCCAGTATATGAAACTCTATCGTTTAAAAATTTTTAGTAAATTTGGATCACTAGTGACTCAGGCTCTGTCGTTCAAGGGTTAATATTTCAGTGACTTATCGACGAGTCCTGTGTGACTTAATATTATAAACCTGGACAAAGTATTACATGGTTCTGACGTATTTTTCGAAGTAGACATTAAGTCCAAAATTATTTGAACCTAACAATAGACTTAAAATTGTTTGGTTCTGAAATTTCGTGTAAACTAGTATCGAGAGCCCTTCAGATTGTTTGGCTCGAAACAAGATGTGGACTTAATATTATTTCTAAACTATCATATTTAAAACAAATCTACTTAAAATGAAATAATTTTTACCCTCAGGAAAAGCGAGAAATAAAATACAAGAAACCGATGAAATGTTACTTTTTCAAAAAAATGGACTTTATACACTCTGGTTCTGGGATCCAGAATTGTTCTTAAACGAAATTCTAAGAATGTTTTCTTCTCACAAGACTCGACGTATATCCCATGAAATGTACAGCTGTCAAAGTGTCAACTTCATTACGTTATCACGTACGCTTTAACACATAGAGATACTCGAACAAAAGCATGTATATACTACTTGACCAGTAGAGTGTTCTAATAAACATCAAACGCGGTCGTTCACACGCTAGCTACCCTCTTTAAAACCAGCATCACCGGCCTCGCATTTCTCCACTTAAAACCATTACGAACGCGCGACTCGAGAAATAAATTCAACCGTAGAAGATATCCCATGAACGGAGCGGGCCGAATCGAGAACGTTTCGAGCGTGTTATCAGCCTCTAATTTCCGAGGGAAGATCCGTCGAGAGGGCGAACCGTCGAACCGGCATAGTTTCACGGGGGTAATGATTCTCGAGATCTCATTTACAGTACAAATTAGTCGTAGTCCGGTCCTTGGTCGTTAATGGTCGGTCGGCACGCAAAGAGGTTAGCTTTAATGAAGACCACGCTTTATCCGTGACGAGGCTTGACTCTGCTCGCTCGCCAGCTCTCCTCCGCTAGCGGATACACGCGTGCTCGTATTTTCGCGAGCCAGCGTACGCTGAATGCGAGTTAAACGAAGATTTATGCCGCGACGCGTAAATATAAACAACAATATGCAATCCCCGCCTCATTGTCCCGGAAGAGGCTCGACCAATGCAAACTAATAAGCGCTACGTCCGAGAACACCTCTCTCGCTTACACGCTCGAGTGTGAAATAAGTTTACGTCGGTAAAGTTTTCGGAAGATTCATTCTGTAAATAAGATACCGTATTACTTCGAATTTAATCCGTAGTGGAATTTTAAAAGTGGTAAATTGGAAAAAATAATAAAAATAAGAATGATTTTATAATAGGTAGGTACTGAAAAATAGGAATAAATTTAATTGTAACTCGAATAGGCATAAATATAAATATAATAAGCTACCTAATTTATTGAGAATCTTCTTCAGATATACTATCACTTTCGACATCTTCACTTTCAGAACTTGAATTCTTTATAAATCATTAGTAATGCAGCATTTTAAAATACATCTTATGATCATTTCTTCGGGGATAAACCCAAAGACTTGATCGTTGGGGAGTGGAAAATCGGCAGAAATAAGATGTTAAAATATTCACATTGAATTTAAGCCGCACCCTAATTTCACGTCTTAAAAATTTGAATAAAAAGTGCGGCTTAAATTCGAAGTAATACGGTATACACTAGAAATCAAGAATCTTGTTTGCTTCAAAAACGAATGATAAATAATTTTACCCTATCCTGATTTAAAAAACGTTTCGCGCGGACCGCGAAGAGAGGAAGAAAAAGTGATCGCGTTGTTGTACGAAAAATTTTCAGCGACCGCGTAATGCGCGGCCCTATTAAATGAACCGGTTTTAATGAATTTACGCGTACGCGGGCAGCGTGCACGTGTAGCCGGCGCGGCGAGCAGAATCGAGCGGAAGACTAATCGAGCGGGGCGTAACGAGCCACCGACGATCCTTCGTCCCATGGACGAAAAGTCTTCGGGTTTTTTGCGATCTCGCTTCAGAAATTTGTCTGTCGCCGTCTTAATACGCCGGCTGTCACGCGCGTCGACGCTCATCCATCCAGAGTACTTTTGCCGGCTAACACCCGCCATCTTTCTTTCATATGACATTAACCCCTCCTTCCAATTCGACTGGCGTACGTCAGTTTAAAGTCGTTTATTTGTTGAACCAAGTGAAATTTTTTGCAGAAATTCTAACCGTATCGATCGACATAGTAAAGGGGTAGTTTGCATAGAAAAATTTAATAAAAAGAAAATCGCAGCATTGCACATCTCGTAACGTCCAAGATGACCACCTAACGATATTTGTTTTCGAATAATTACACGGCTGGATTCGAAGCGCGTACCCGCTGCCGCGCTATGCACGCGTGTATACACGCTTTTCGTCTTGTAATTACAAACTATCGCGGCGTTCGACGATCGTCCATCATTTTCGCGGAGCGCGTGATTACAACGTTTACGACGTTTAGAAGGGTGGCTAAGGTGGTTCGCGACGCGGTAAGAAACAACGAACGCGCCTTGTGTGTTTTCCATTCGATATTATCGCTGAACCTGAGTAAAATATAATTAAGAAGATACAAGGTGCTCACCATGTCCTCCATGCTGTGATTTCCGGCCTGCATTAATCCGTGATTCGTACAGCTTCCCACGGCTGGTGAACCGTAGCATACACGCACTTTACTATCGTTGGTAATCGCACTTAGCCGACAACTTTCCGCGTTTATTCCCGCCGATCTTTTCCGCTTACGATATCACACGTTCATTCCGTTATCCGATATCAAGGGAAATAACTAGTTGTCACTGCTCGAATCATCGTCCGATCGACGATCACTTCGTACAAAACAGCTCACTGTTGTCTTCTTCTCCGTACGATCATAACACTGTTCCACCGATAGGATGTTTCTTCGACGAAAAGAAAAATGACAGATCGAATCGAAGTCGTTTTTTCGTCGGCCGAAGTAATGGTCCGGAGGTGGCGCAAAAACACAACACACACGTGGGGGTCGCGATCTCCGTGGTAAGATCGCCACGAGGATGGTCGTCACCGGTACACACGGTGACGACACAGAGAGTCAGGGTGGTCCGCGACGCGCGACATCCTCCTACCGGTCGTCGAAGTCTCCGGCTCGAGCGCAGCTAGCGATCTTCCGCCATCCGCGTTCTACCTTTCGAAACGCTAGTCAATCGTCCGCGATTATTCTCGATCTTCTTCCGATACTATTCGTCCGATCTGTCGAAGGAAGGAACTATCGCGCCGAATCGTCTCGATCGAACGACGGTCGACCTGTTTTTATCGCGCTCCAGCGGGGAAGCACGTCCGGTGGAAAGAGGCAGGGACCACACACAGCCGTGGAGGAAGAAGAAGTTGGTAGAATGGAGAACGTACGCGAGTAGAACGCGAGACGAAGGAACGGAAAGAATTGTAAAGGACGCGGCGTCGAGGAGCGAACCGTTCGCCGGCACGGGCTGAATCGCACTGACTCGGTTGTTGCTTTGCCCGCCAGCTCCGACCGAGACGTGTTGTGCCCGAAGGAGAGGGAGAAGGAGAGAGACACGCGATATCGTAGAGGGGTTTCAGGCCCTTGCATCGGGAACCCCTCTGCCGTAGCAGGCCTACCGGGTGCCCACGGCTTCGACCATTATCTCTGTTAGACCGACTACGCCGAGCCGAGAGGTTCCGAGGGCTTTATTATATTTACGAGGCGTTATCGAGGCAATCCAACAATATTGATTCCGCGCCGCGAACCGATCGGCCATCTTTAAGAACGCCCAATACGCCCGACTACTCTTTGCATGACCGTTCTTCTCGCTACCGGAGGGCTAGCACCCCCCGCACCATGCTTTCTCTTCCGCGTTTCGATTCTTTTTCATGTAATAACTTTTGGAAATTATAAAATTTCCTGCATGGATTCGTGGTGCAGAGATTAGGAAAAGTATCATGCGGGTTTTCTTGCCCTCCTTCATTCTAAAACGCGGTCACATAGGGGTGACCTAGAGCGTGAAGGATTCTCTACCAAGATAGATTCGACTGGATAGCAGCGCGTTTCCCTGGTAAGTGAGACGTTTTCGATTCCATGGCGGCGGAAGTTGTGAAACGTAATAATTTATTCTTTGTCCGGCTCTTCTCGTTTTTATTCCCCTCGCTCTCTTAACCCAATACCGGGAATAAAAACGAGTTTCTCGTATGAATTAGATGTCCTTTTGAATTATCGTGCCGGGACATATCTGACTTGTCGCCGGGGTCATTGTCTTTATAATCCCAGTTCTCGTTTCAGGCCCGGCTACGTATATTATAAGCAGTGATTTAGGTGAACTCTATTATGTTGCTCTCTTGGCATACATATTGTCACATTAAAGGCGGTTCTCCTTTGTCGAGTTAAAGCCTCCCTAACAGCGACGAAAGCGAAATAATCCAACGATATTTATACGTACGTTTCTCTAGTAACACGTTCCACCTATTATAGTGTAAAATATGAAGATACGTCATCGGTTGATTTCGGTGATTTCAATGCCGCAGAAATAAGCAGCATTGTTCGGTCGAAGAACAGGTTCGTTTATCAACGACGTTGTTTCGCCAGCGATTAAAGGCGATTTTTGTCGATAAGCTAATAGTGTCATCAAAAAGTTTGCGATGCTGGTGGACACGTAACGACGTGTAATAATTACGACGGAAGAAGCGGTTCGATTAGGTGTCGTGCGATGAACTGGTTACGAACACGTATGAAGGAAAGCGGATCGTTGGTCAGCCACGGTACACCTTCAGGTGTACGCGTGGATGTGTGGGTGGGCCAGGTAACAGCTGATCGTCGCCGTTGATCGGAACGCCGAAGCAGGAAGCCGCGGACGTCCTCGTGCTGGCGTCCATTTGTACGCGCGCCCTGGAATTTCATCCGTATTAGATTTAAGCGCAACGATAACGATACCGTATCTTGCTACTCCTTCCACTTCTTCTTTGCCTTTCTTCCTCTTTCGACAACGTGTCTTTCTCGTCTTCGTCTCATCGTCAACCGATTCTTCGATTTCTCAGGATTTAAATTCATGCATGTTTGTTTCAATATTCTTGTACATTACAGAATCTTTAGAAATACCATCTTTTTTTTCTCATTAGCTGCGTTATGCCTCGGTAAAGATTCTATTTTATTACAAATTCTTTCGATGAAAACAAATATGTCTCTTAATTGATTTTCAAGACGGCAGTTAAGCGGGACGTAAAGTAAATGCCTAGATAAGCACGGGGATTAATTAAGCATTCGTGAATAATCAATGGAACAGTTATTCTATGGTTAGGTTTATATCTCATTGAATTATTCATCGTCAAAGAATAGAACAAATCTTCGAAAAAATTGATGACATTTATTCATATTGCAGTATCACCGCGGTTTATTTGCTACGTGACTTCGCAATACGCTTTACATATGCAGTAACCAGTATAAAAACGAGTAGACATCGTTATGCTAAATTTTGCAATTGCATTTCTTCATGCACCTGTCCGCCCGTAAAGATCTGAACGTTTAAATCATGCAAATGGATTGTTCCAATTTTCTATTAATCCTTGAATAATGGAATTTGGGTCAAAGGAGATCCAAGTTTACAAAACATATACAAGAATATTAACGTTAAACGAAAGAGTTTAATATGTAAAAAAAAAAAATTTTCAGAGGAACAGTGTAGAATTTAGCAAATGAAAATAATATGAAAAACACATTGCAATCGCGTTTCGCTTCGTTTCTGTCACCTAATCCGAAAAATCATCGAAAATACCAACTTTAACAGGACGAATAGAAATAGAAGAAGCTCGTTCCCTTTAATTCCCGCGAAAGCTCGCTCGTCGTGTGCCCACGGAAGGTAAAGGAAGGAGGCTTGATGAACTTGCCTCGTGAATCACCTAGCCTATAAAAATCGGCGCCGATGCGTGAGAGAGATAATGGCGGGGAGGAGCGGTAACAACAGGTTTACTTATGTACGCACGTACACCGGTCCCGATGGAAGAGGTACGAGGCAACGGTCTGAGCCTAGGGATCAGGAAACTCGAAGAGGAGCGACGAGGAGAGTGCTCGATGCGCGACTGCAACGCGTGCACTAGCAGCGAGAGAATGCACGCGGACGCGCTGACTGTGGCACGATATTGCAGGTGAATCTGTGCGAGTACGGCTCGGTAACGTTTCGAGTTCCGCGAGGGTGGCGTTTCATCTACGTCGTGTTACACTTATTGGCGTTGCACGCGTTACACGATGAAACAGGCGGGGGATGTTGGCCGCGTGGCGGCTTTGAGATCATGCGACCCCGATGACTCGTGAGAACACAGACGGTGCACGATGTCTGGCTAGCATCTTCTTCGCCGATTATTCTTGCCAGCTGGCAACGTGTCTGCGAGCAATCTGCTCGTTTCCGAACGAGAGGATAGTTTCTTAAATCGAGCCTGTAATTCGTGGTGGTAACGATACCGCAATTGCGTTAAAGAAGCAATTGCCTTCTCATCGTTATGACGTTTCTAACAATCGGCGATGGTAGAATGACTTGCCGACGAGTAAACAGAACAAGAAAGCGACGAGGCGTAAAACGAATCGTGATGCACTTTAATCCGATAAGCTGTGTTCCTCGGAAGCAGTCGGAAAATCGAACGGCTACGGGCTAACGAGATATACCAACTAGTATCTACCGTATCCCGTTAAATGATCAAGCAACGCGAAGATACGCCTCGAATCGATCCTTCTGATCAACGTTAATTATACGCGAAACCTACACGTGAGCTTTCCTCGATTCACATTCAATTAGCCTGACCGAATGCCTGGGCGCACCTTCACTCGCGATATTCAGATAGCACTGCTTTCCAGGCAGAAGGACCTTAATCGATTACGTGCCAGGGCGATTGAGAAATCCAACCATTGTTCGACGATGTCGGCTCCAGCTACGGATTCGTTCCACACGATTCTTTATATGTATATTTCTGCTGAAACTGCTGATTTCTTCGGTGTTCTTGCACAATGCGTAGAATCTTTGTTTGCTTATTTTCACGATGCTTCTAATTGAATCGAAAGAAAAATTCAAGTGAAACAGCTCGATTCTATGTACACTTGTGATCAAATCTAGCTAGGATGCCTTATGGGAAAGGACGAAAACTCGGGACATCATAATTTTTCCTGGGGAAAAATTGAAACGCGAGTGTACACGCAACGAAGTTAATTAGAAACTCAGTCGCACTCAATAGAGGTATTCCAAGAATTAACTCGGTAACTTGCTATCATGAACTGGTATTTTAATTCAACGTCGACCGATGTCTCAACCAGTCCAAATAATATACAACGAGGAAACTTAGAAAACAGTGTTAGACTTAGCCTACATCCACGTCGAAGTGTCGTGAAGCAACGTTAGATATTAATCTAAAGGAACTACCGGGGGGCGAAGTTTGCTATCTGTTCGTTACGCAAGATCCCGGTAGGCCTGTCGTAAATTTTGTCGTCGGTGCCTGGATTAATATGTAAAAGCAATTTAACCACGAATACCGTTTCTCCTTTGCCGATGGTGACAAAAACTCGATCCGAACGTTTCGATTTGAATTTTGATTTCATCGGGCGTGATTGAAATTCACGTGGGCGTGTTAGAATGTAGAAGCCGGTGTCTCGAGAACGGAAAGTTGATTAATTTAAAACCGCCAATTTTTTTCTACCTCCTGTTTCTTTTTTTTTTTTTTATTTCCAACAAGTCGTTACACGCTTAAGAACAACGAAGCCTGCACAGATTGGAACGGAGCGAGTTTAGAAACGAGACGTCTCGTTATTGGCGCAGTTCCCGGCGCAAAGGAAAACGAGGAAGTTGAAAACCAGTTGGCATAACCGTGGGCGTAATAAAATACGCTCTAAGTTGTTCTGGACACCTTGTACGGGCGGCATTTAGTAACCGTGAACGACATTACATCTTTATTGTCTTAACGCGCAGTTGGGCGGTACACGAGATACAAGTAGAACGTAACAGTCAACTTTTTGAAGAGAAAATGTATCTTACGGAGATCGTTTGAACGCTGTAAACCTTATCCTCGTTTAGCACCAGAAGACACTAGAAAGTGTGGTATCTTAAACCTTCCGGACACATGTTTGCTAAGAATATTAGGGTAGACCGGGGGCGGTAGTAACACGCTAAATATCTCAAAATATTGAATAGATATTAACATAAATTTCGGATACGTAATGGAAAATGATATTTGGAAAACACTTATCACTGTTCTAATAGTATATGTAGATACGCAATAGACGCTTATAATGAACAAAATAACTTTTAGATACCCTACAGTGACTTTCTCTTACTGATTTAAAATTGTAATATCAATACTCCCTTTGTAATTGTATGCTTGAATGTTGAATGTAAGAATTAGAAAACGTTTCCTATATTTACTATATTTTGTTTATTACTGTAAATCAATAAATATTACAGTTTTGTAAAGTTACATTTGTGTTACTTTTGACTTCTTGCAGCGTTACAACCGACCCAGGATCAGGGACGATTGTAACACTTTCCCCGATTTCCATTTTTTTATTAATAACTTGAATATTACTTGTCATAGAGTGAACTTGTTACTGATTATGAATGCATGCCCATTTCCAAGTACCATCTTAAAAATGTCAATCTTTTCCTCGCCAATTGCTATAAATGTTCTGACTATAACACGTATATAGCATCGAGCTCCCCGCAGCGAAAGGGTTAAAGTCTGAAAGGGGACACTTAATAAGTTGTTCCTGTCAGAAGCTAGAAGTCGCTTCTAGAGAAGTATAGATCGAGCAGGTGGGTGGAGAGGATCGCGGAATCGAGAGTCACGAACGAGTAGCTCTCGATCGTTCGATAAGTGGTATCGCGGCCTGTGCCGCGTACCTGAACTTCACCTTGGCAGGTGAGCAGGGATGCTGTTCAATAACTGTGTCACTTAACCGACGCGACGGTGACCCGCGGCGTAACTCAACACCGATTTTAATTATATCCAGGCAAACGCGTGGGAAGCGTTAATAACAAACGGGTTGCGAGATCGGTGGCGAAACGAGCGGTCCGTTCGACGCCCGGTTAAACGAAATTGCGACACGTTCGGCGACGACTATGCGGATTACACGAAACGCGTTTCCTTAGCTGGAACTCGGTCGATCGAATTCCAAGAAATGTCAAACGGTACAATTATTATGGACACGCGAATGTAAATGCACCACGATCTGCACGCGTTCCAAAGAGCTTCTTTCGTGCGTACTTTATTGCCGTTGCTTGAAACCAGAAGGAGAATCATATACGACGATGCACAGTGGTTTTCGCGAACGCAGATTTTACGAATAGCTGATCCAAAATTTAATTTTCGAAGTATATAGCAATTTTTTTCAGGTGTTGTTATATTTGGTGTACACGTATCGATGCGTCGAGTGCCGCTTGAATTTTTTGAATATATTGATTAGTTACTGAGATATAGGCTGTCAAAATTGACCAAATTGAAAACTAGAGCATGTTTAGTATGTCAGGGAAAATTTATCTTAAAAAGATTTATATGTAGAATATTTTACCATTAAATTAAGTGTTATAAATGCAAGCTTTCTACAAGAATAAAGTAAAATATCTTTTGACCAGCTTTTCGCAAAATAGCACCACTGCGCGATGCGTCGCAATGCAGCCACGTGAACGCGGTATGCAGTCGTTTAATTCTAGTGTAAATTCTAGTGGCATTTGCGAGCATAACGCGAAGGTTAACGAGCTAACCCATGGACCAAGTTAGTAAATTGTCCTGTAATTTCCATCGGTTCAATCCCTTGTCTGCTATTAACCATCTAAATAGAAACCGCACCCAC